GGTGTTCCGTTTTCCCCCTTTGTCGAAACATATGCACTATAGGTGAATTGAGTAAACTAAATTGGTCGTAGTGTATTAGTGTGTGTGTGTGTGTGTGTGTGTGGATGAGAGTGTATGTGTGTTTCCCAATACTGGGTTGCAGCTGGAAGGCCATCTACTGCAAAAAAAAAAATGCTGGAATAGTTGGCGGTTCATTCCGCTGTTGCAACCATTGATAAATCAGAGACTAAGCCAAGCGAAAATGAATGAATGAGTAAATGAAACATATTATGGTCATGCCTGCTACAATGATGGTGCGTTAGCAAAGTTCCTTGATTATTACACTACACTGAGAGTATAGTTCCTCATGTTATTTCAGCCTAGAAAATAGCAGCTTTTCTGTCAGTCTTAGTACACAACATCTGTAACTGCAGAATAAATAGTCAAAAGTTTTTTGGGATTTTTTTAGAGTGAGATGCTAATGGTCTAATCTGATTCAATTACCTATGCTAAGCTAAGCTAAAAGTGCTACCGCTAGACCCGGAGATCTGCTGAATAGATTGAAAAACTGTAGGAGTGCTGTAAAATGAGCCTATTTCTGCTATTTACATTAAAACACTTTGTTGCTGTGTGTGTTTACAGCACTGCGTGACAAAGCACGTGATCTGAACGCGACTTTGGGACTTCGGGATGGGACTTTAGAGAAAAGCGTGAACGAGATGAATGACGAGATCCAGGAAATGCTCGCAGAGCTCCGCAAACGCCAGCTCACCGGAAAGAAACACATGGCTGATGAAGAGCTCGGGTAAGACACTAACATTCACTCACACACTTTGAGTTTCTGTGTTTCCTGGGGACTTTCCACAAACATAAAGATTTGTATACTGTATAAACTACAGTTGAAACCAGTAGTTTACATACACTGCATAAAAAGGCACATAACCATTTTAAAAAAAGTCAGATGTTAATGTGACTAAACTTTTTCTCTTTTAGGTAAGTTAGGATGATCACATGTGTTTCTGTTCTGCTTAATAGCAGAATAATGAGAGAGAGATTGTTGAGAAATTGTTATAACTCTTGTTGAAAATCAAGTTTATAGCAATCAGATTATTCTGCCTCTGAAAAAGCTCAGATGATGATGTCGAGGTTTTGGACGTTTCTGATTGGCTAATTGACAACATTTGAGTTAATGTGAGGCACAGCTGTAGAATAGTATTGAAGGAAAAGCTCAAACACACTGCTTCCTTGTGTGACAACATGGGAAAATCAACAAGCCAGAATCAACACAAAAGCCTGATTACCATTTGCTGAATTACACTGGAAAGAGACTCATGTTTGGAGACATGTCCTGTGCTCTGATGGAGCTAAGATTGAACTGTTTGGGCATAATGAGCAGTGTTACATTTGGAGGACAAAGGGGAAAGCGCACAAGCCTAGACAAACCATCCCAACTGTGAAGTATGGGGGCGGCAGCATCATGTTGTGCGGCTGTTTTGCTGCAGGAGGGACTGGTCCACTTCACAGCATAGATGGCATCATGAAGAAAGAACATTATGGAGAAATACTGAAGCAACATCTCAACACATCAGCCAGGACATTAAAACTTGACCACAATGAGTCTTCCCAACAGACCATGACCCTCAGCATACTGCCAAATTAGTTCAAATGTGCTTTAAGGACTACAGAGTGAATGTTTTGGAGTGGCCATCACAAAGCCCTGATCTCAATCCTATAGAAAATGTGTGGGCAGAGTTGAAAAAGCTTGTGCGAGCAAGACAACCTACCAATCTGACTCGGGTTACAGCAATACTGTCAGGAGGTATGGGCCGAAATTCCAGCAAACTATTGTGAGAAGCTTGTGGAAGGAGACAAAACATGTGACCAAAGTTATACAGTTTAAAAGCAAAGCTAAAAAATACCAAGGAAATGTGTAAACTTTAGACTGTCTAGAAATTAATAAAAAAAATCTTTAAAAAAAGTCTCTTATTATTCTGGCATTTAGCAAATGTAAATCATTTTAAGTATTCCTAACAGACCTAAAATAGTAAACATTTAACATGATTTAACATCAGACATTTTTTTAAAAATGGTTATGTTCCTTTTTTTACTTAAGTTTACTCACTTAAGTACATTTAACTAATCACTCTAAAAGCAACAAGATTACTCACTTAAGTAAATTCAATTTTTCCCTTTAAAAGGAACGGGTTCACTCATTTAAGTCAACTAATTGCTTTAAAAGCAACAAGTTTACGCACTTAAGTAAATTCAACTAATCACTCTAAAAGTAATAAGTTTATTCAAGTTAATTCAACTAATCGCTTAAAAGCAACAAGTTTACTCACTTAAGTCAACTAACTACTTTAAAAGTAAATTAAACCAATCAGTTTAAAGCAACAAGTTTACTCAAATTGAACTGATCGCTTTAAAGCAACATGTTTACTCATTCATTTTCTTGTCGGCTTAGTCCTTTTATTAATCCGGGGTTCGCCACAGCGGAATGAACCGCCAACTTATCCAGCAAGTTTTTACACAGCGAATGCCCTTCCAGCCGCAACCCATCCCTGGGAATCATCCACACACATACTCATACACTACGGACAATTTAGCCTACCCAATTCACCTGTACCGCATGTCTTTGGACTGTGGGGGAAAACGGAGCACCCGGAGGAAACCCACGCGAAGACAGGGAGAACATGCAAACTCCACACAGAAACGCCAACTGAGCCGAGGTTCGAAATGGTGACCCAGCAACCTTCTAGCTGTGAGGCGATAGCACTACCTACTGCACCACTGCCTCGCCCCACGTGTACTCACTTAAGTAAATTCAACTAATCGCTTTAAAAGCAACAGGTTTACTCACTGTTTACTCAAAGCATGTTGCTTTAAAAGCGATACGTTGAAATTACTTAAGTGAGTAAACATGTTGCTTTTAAAACCTGTTGTCAACCTAGTGCTTTTAAAGCGATTAGTTGAATTTACTTAAGTGAATTTAACTAATCACTTTAAAATTAAGAGGTTTACTTTGTTTTTACTTTTCGTTTTTTAAGCGCAGTCAACTGATCACTTTTAATTATTAAAAATATTTGCATGTTTTAAAATAAAAACAACTAATTGCTTTTGCATTCAAATGATCGCATTAAAAGCAACTGGTTTGCTCACTTCTTAAAGTCAACTGATTGCGTTTACAGTGTTCTGAACCGTCATTGTGTATACTGTTAAACAGCATACAAAAGAGCAAAAATCTAATCATCAATCAGTCAACAATGCTTAAGTGGTTATTTTCTCCCCATCATGCTGCAGTAAAATTCCAGAAGATGTCACTTCTGCACTGTCACAAATGTGGATGTTTTTCAATGATGAATAAATAATAGAGTTGATGAGTAACGATCCTATGAATATACAGCACGGTATACTCGCACAAAGAGCAGCAGAAGCGAAGGAGCGAGCGGTGAGGATGCCGTTCAGGCTCAGGTTGGAATAATTGTTTTGGTGGCATTATGTTTCTCAGTAGCATTTTGTGGTTCACTGGATCGCAGCTCAAATGAAGAAAGTTTCTCTTTCTTATGTAAAATCGTAATGAACTAATTAAAAGTTGCCTGGGGTTGGGCGGGGGGAGGAATATTACACCAGCCTAATCAAATTACTCCTGTAATGGATTCCTGGGTCTGTGCGCTTATGAGAGAACAGAGAGAGACACCTAGAGGAGTGACGGAGTAAAGCTGGAGCTCGTGCTGTTTCAGAGCTGCTGCTGATGCTTAGGGCTGCACAATATATCTGCATCAATATCGCAATGTGCACATCTGTCTGCAATGTCGAATCTGGATTATAGTTTAATAGGAGTTTATATTAAGACATGAGTAATTGCTAAATTTAACCATGAAGTCGCCAAAAATTGTGTCGTTTGTATGTGTTTTAAGGCCTTTCAAGCCAGTTTAAAGCATTTACATTTTTGTGACTTCTTGAAAGATTCAACAGATTTTACAGAGTTATTTATTTTACATTTAATTATTCAATTTGTCTACCTGAATATTGTTAGACTCCTAGAAAAAACAAAGTATTTGTTTTATTTGCAGCTTTGCTTTACTGCATGAACTGAAGCTCGTGATTTGGTTTATTGCACTGTATGCAGATGTGCTCTACTACAAAATCATCCTGTTATCATCCAAAATAGTCCTTAAGTTATTCAATATTTCCAAATAGAGCTATTCATTTCTATGCTATTCATTTAACTATTCAGTTAAAGTTACACTCAATATGGCGGGTCGGTGGGGTGTTAATGTCAAGTCCTGCTTATTTGTGTTATTTCGGCTAGAATAAAAGCAGTTTTTAATTTTAAACAATTTTAAGGTCAATACTGTTCAACCCAGGCTCATTCTGGAAACGTAGCCCCAAAGATGTTTCTGGAGATCGCGAAATACGTCCTGGGAGGTACGTATTTGTGCAGTTTTTGTTTTCGTGAATCCACTGCTGTGCGTGCTTTTTCACGTCTTGAACGCCTCTCGTGAGCGAGCGCTGTTCGTGCCTGCGCTGTTCTCGCATAAAAAGCCGCCGGAGGCCGTTGTCGTGCAACCGTCTGTCCGACTGACCCAATGACTGATTGATTGACTGGGCGGCCGGCCAATCGGCTGACCCAGCCACCCTCCTCCTCCTCCTCCTTCTTCCCTAAACCCAAGCGACGATTCACAAAAGCCGTAAAAAAAAAAAAAGAAAAGCCCTCGTCTGATTTTGACTGTGTTTTTAGATTTCAACGCATTCTCGCCTCGTTATTACAGGAGAATTTCTGATGCATATAAAGGAACTTTTATAATGTAATCACTATATAATCTGCCACTATTAAAATATAGAAATACACTGTTAAAACATATAAAAATACATTCAAGTGATGCAGAGGAAAACACACAGACATGCAGGGCCTTGTAATTGAGGGCCTTACGGCCTTGAGGCATGGCAGGTCATGCGGTGAAGTAAAAACATTCAGACCGCATATGCAATACATTTAGACAAATGTATGTATTGACCAAGACAAAAACAATCCTCGACAAAATAGCATACATAAGGAGAATCATTTAGAAAGTCAGAAAAACATTCAGCCATTAATTAAAAAAGCTAGGATACTATTGGAGCCGGGAAATGGCGTGATGCTACACGACATGTCATGATGACAATGGGAAAAAACTGTATATAAACTGTGGGTTTTTGAACATTGGAAAAAGGAGAGAGATCAATCGACCAACTCTGCTGTAACAATAAACTGCTTCAACTTGAAAACTTCAAAGACCCCAGCCTCTTTTTTGAAACTTAGAAGATGTTTGTCGAGATCCAGCGCAACTTTCCACAACATTATGAACTCGTTCGCTTTAGTTTTTGGATTCTGTTTTTTGTCTTACCTGATTTCTGGGAACGCTCTTTCCGGACTCGAACCCGGTCGTCAAATGCAGCCGGCTCCTCCTCCTCCAGGCCTCCGCCGACTTAACACGACGAGCTAACCGGACAAACTGGTTGCGGCGGGAAAGCCCTCAACACTGAGGAGGTGAGCCGTCAGCCTAGCCGGCGAGCACGAAGAGGAGCGGCCTCACACCGCCCCGTAGCGTTTGCTTGAAAAAAAACAAAATACAGCCATACATACCTCCGCCCACGTAAATCCCGGTCTCCAGAAACGTCCGCGGGGCTACGTTTTCAGAATGAGCTTGGGTTGATATTATTAGCCCTCTTAAGCCATATTTGTTTTGGATTGTCTACAGAACAAACCACTGTTATACAATGACTTGCCTAATTACCCTAACTTGCCTAATTAACCTAGCCTGGTTCACTACAGGAAGGCACAGGATCTCAGGATTATCAAAACATGCATATTTATTATCAATACACTCACACGAACAGACACAGGAAGAACATGGGGTGAAGACGGACATCAGCTTGGCGAATACCGGACAAGGACTGAATGAAATTAAGGGGTGTATACACATGAACATTCATTCATTCATTCATTCATTTTCTTGTCGGCTTAGTACCTTTATTAATCTGGGGTCGCCACAGCGGAATGAACCGCCAACTTATCCAGCAAGTTTTTACGCAGCGGATGCCCTTCCAGCCGCATTCACACACACACACTACAGACAATTTAGCCTACACAATTCACCTGTACCGACTGTGGGGGAAACCGGAGCACCCGGAGGAAACCCACGCAAACACAGGGAGAACATGCAAACTCCACACAGAAACGCCAACTGAGCCGAGGTTCGAACCAGCAACCTTCTTGCTGTGAGGCGACAGCACGACATACTGCGCCATTGCCTCGCCTACACATGGACATGATGACTATGATTACACACAGGGGATAAACACAGGTGAAGGTGATGAACATAATGATATGGCGGGAACACACATCATGGTTGAGGTCACATGATGAAAACAAACACACAAGCGAAACTGGGTGTGACAAACCTATAGCCTTATATTATATTATGTACTGTCATCATGGCAAAGTCAAAAGAAATCAGTGATTAGAAATGAATTATCAAAGCTATTATGTTTAGAAATGTGTTGCGAATGGCGAATAGTTCTGACATCACCTGTGAATACATTAATCTTTCAGCGGTACTGAAGCGGCTTGTTTGTGTGTACTGTCAGTGTCTCACCGTGTCTCTGTGTGTGTGTGCGTGTGTGTTTAGGGCTGCGGAGGCTCTCTTGTCCCGCGTGAAGCGCTTGTTTGGAGACCCACAGCAGGCCACAGCGGACCTGAAGCAGGAGGTGGGACAGAAGATGAGCGACCACAAGCTGAAGCTGCAGGAGGCGCAGGAGCTGCTGGAGGAGGCGCTCACACACACCAGACAGGCTGAAGACCTGACTCTCAACAACCAGCTCAAACTGCAGCATCTGCAGGTGCACACACACGTTCATACACACACGTTTATACACACACTGACAGACGGATGCTGATACACACAGACAGACACACATACATACTATACACACACTGTACTCACACTTTTATCCACACAGACACACACATACATACTATACACACACTGTACACACATAGATTCATACACACACAAAGACAGACACATACATACTACACACACACACACACACACACACACACACACATACATACATACTGTACATACACAAATGCTGTACAGACAAACTGTACACACACACACATACTGCACACATACATACTGTACAAACACATACTGTACACCAAACACACATATACAGTCACACACACACACATTCATACACAAATACACACTCACATACTGTACACACACAAACTTACGTACGTACACTCATATATACACAGAGAGTCAGACACACACACACACACTCACATAACACACACACACAAACATGCACAAACTCGTATATGCATACACACACAGAGACACACACACAAAACATGCACACACACACACACACACACTCATGCAATGAGTCACATTACACACAAACTCACACATACAAACACACACACATTTACAAACACTTACTCACACACGCACAGGCAATCACATACAAACACTCACAAACTCTCAAACACATGCACATACACACACACACACACACACACACACACACACACACACACACACACACACTGAAGAAGCACTCAGTGAAATGGTGGCTGTGCTGCAGGGAAAGAGGGATGCGGCCGTTAAACAGAAAGAACAAACAGAGGGGGTCTTATTGGAGGGAGAGAAGAGTCTGGACGAAGCCAATGCTCTCTCCGACGCCATCACCCGCGGCAAAGAGGTGAGTGTGTCTATGTGTCAGTGGACAGTTGTGTGTGTGCCTGACTAACACTACTTCCAACAGCAACCTAGTGTTCCCTAGTGGTCTCCCATCCTGGTACTGACCAGGCTCAGCCCTGCTTAGCTTCAGTGAGTAACCGGTCTTGGGCTGCAGGGTGACATGGCTGTGCATACATATGTGTATGTATAAATACACACTTTTTTGTCTGTATGCATTATATGCATCTGAAGTGTATGAAAACATTCAATAAGATTCTGGTACCCGGTGCAGTTTTCGCTTGATGATCATAAAGATGCTTGGTTGACTTTTTCCCGAATTTGCCTTGCAAGTGTGCCTTTTTAGATCGCTCGTCCCTGAATCACTGGTGTGACTTGACTAAAATGAAGCATGTTTTACAAGCAGCATGCTGTCACCGTCACAGTTTACTCTCAGGAACTTCATTAATATTTCCGACTTCCTTTGAAACAAGCGGAAGGTTGGCAACTGGCCTAAAATATCTACTTTTTGAGAAAACAGAGCCATCTCTTCCGGGCTGGCTACAGGCCTGTGTGTGATGCTGACTAGAGTGTGTTGTGCAGGAGCTGGAGGAGATGGCGGGAGAGCTGGGGCCTCTGCGGGATCAGCTGCGGGATAAAGAGTCTGATCTGAGTCGCGGTCTGGATGAGTCTGTCCCGGAGCTGCTGCTAAGAGCGGAGGATCACGCCGCACAGCTCAACCACTCCGCCGCCATACTCGACAGGTCTGTGAATGAATCTTTTAAGGTCTCATGAAATTAACAAACGTCTTTTTAGATGCTAGTGTCAGTATTGTTAGTTTTTTGGGTATCTTTAAGCTAGTGTGCACCTATACATATCTATATATATATATATATATATATATATATATATATATATATATATATATATATAAACATGCAAAGCTTGTAGTTTATCACTTCCACCAAAATGTTTCAACGTTTTTTATTAACGTTTTCTCATACTTCTGTTTCTCATCAAATATTAAGACCAATCAAATGCTCCTAGTATCTGATATGCCCCGCCCCCCTCAAGACGCTCTACATTTAATGTGCTTGAGTTCAACCACTTTCACTGGCAGAGCTGTGATAAAAACTAAATGCTATTGGCTGTTTTTTAAAAGGGAGGAGCTACTATATGTCCCGCCCTCTCTTTGTTTCAGTTGAGATTACGTCAAACATTAAATACTTCATTTGTTAGAAATGTGAGCGAATGCATGGTTTACAGTGAGTG